GCAACTTGCACTTCAAGTTCTACTTCAGTTTCCTAAAGCTATAAAATCAGAGGGTCAGGTGCTCTCTAAATACATACAGATTCTGAAATAATGTATGGACCTCTGTATTGAATGATGTTGAATTCAGAGATGTGACAGAGCTTATTAAAACAGATAAAGTGAAAATTGTAGCCCGTGATGGTAAAAATACTACAGAATAAGTAGGAAGGAAAAGGCTTTTTTACGCCATCTCCTGTTATTTCTGCTTTTTGAAGAAAAGCATAGTAAAGACTTTTTAAATTTATTCTAGCATTGCAAAAATGACTACACTGTACTATACTATCGGAGAATACCCGTAGAAAGAAGCTTATAACTCTATTCCTGTACTTTACCTTTATTATACACCATGATTTTTTTATGACAAATCAAAAGTGGTTGTCTTCCTGAGAACATTCTTTAATAAATTCATTTTAAAAACTCAAAAATTTAGTTGTTATTATAAAGGTGATGTACAGAGGGATTACAGTTATATAAGTTAGGCAAAAGAAATATACATTTCTAAGCCGGGCATCGGTGGCTCATGCCTGTAATCCTACTACTCAGGAGGCTGAGATCTGAGGATCTTGGTTCAAAGCCAGCCCAGGCAGGAAAGTACCTGAGACTCTTATCTCCAATAAACCATAAGAAAACCAGAAGTGGCGTTGTGGCTTAAGTGGTAGAGCACTAGTCGTGAGCTGAAGAGCTGAGTGATAAGGTTCCCTGAGAGCCTCTCCACTAAGGAAGGTTTGGCAGTGGTGGTATTCCTTGGACATTTGGCTGTTGGTTTGGTTTCTGAAGCAAGTGTGTAATCAGGAACTACCAGAAAATATGTCTTCAGCTTTTAGGATTCCTTTTATAAATTCTCAGTTTGGAGCCTTTGTAGCTGAGTGACCTGCCCATGACCTGCTCGAGAGGCATCGGAGTGGAATGCAAAGTGTCTTGTTATTCTGGTGGTGTGTTTTTCCTGGTGATTTTCTTTGGATCTTTTACCGTCTCCACCTATATATACACTCTTCTATCTTGCAGATATTCTTATAGACTAACATCAGAGGCACAGTTTCAAAACCAACTTGCTCCTAAATCTTAGCAGCCACCATAGAAAGCATGATTTCCATTGTCTTTGTGGGAAACTTTCCGTGGAATTCCCCTAAAGAGTTGATTGCAACAATGGGTGTTAGTTTATGAGATCTGTTCAGTACAAAATGAGAAAATTTGGTCATATCAGCCTGGCAAAGGACAAGTTGGTAAATGAATGTGGTACAGTGGTTTTTAGCCTATATCAGAATTACCTGGAGGGCTTGTTAAAATGCAGATTGCTGGGCTCTATGACTTGAATTTCTGATTCTGTGAGTGTAGGGTGGAGTGTGAGAATTTGTAACTACCCTGTTCCTTTGCCTGTCTTATAAATACATACAAACAATAAGCAGAGAGGTGGGCACATGTTCATAGTAATAGCACATACATCTGAGTTGTCATCATCATCATTTCCTCCTAAACCTTAGATATTAGGTAGATATGTTTTTTTTTGCTTGTTAATTGTTATTGTTAACCACTAAGGCCCAAGAAAGTAGCCCAAGATACTCTTCTAGCGTACCTATGCAGCCAGCGCCTTTGGGGGTAAGCCAGCACACTCCTGACAAGATTTATTTTATCTTTAATATCAGAAAAAGAGAGTTAATCTTCTTTTTTTTTTTTTTTTTGGTCGGTTGTGGGGCTTGAACTCTGGGCCTGGGCGCTGTCCCTCAGCTCTTCAGCTCAAGGCGAGCGCTCTACCACTTGAGCTACAGCGCCACTTCCGGTTTTCTGGTAGTTTATTGGAGATAGGAGTCTCACGGTTTCTCCTGCCCGGGCTGGCTTTGAACCGCAATCCTCAGATCTCAGCCTCCTGAGTAGCTAGGATTACAGGCGTGAGCCACCAGCACCTGGCTGAGAGTTAATCTTCTAAGGGAAGGAAATATGGAATATGGAAGCTAGGATGGTGGTAGCTGAAGGAGCCAAGGAATTTGGCTAATATGGCTATTTCCATTCCTCAGATCATTTGCTCACAGCATAAGGGTAAGGTAGTTGGTTTTGTTTTGTTAGTATTCCTTGTTATGGATGGTGACTAATGCATACTTCCTGTTGAAGGAGTTCCGGAGCATCCCAGGAAGTTCAGGATGATCTTGACCTTGGTCTTGGTGACCTGCCCTCTGAAGAGGAGGAAGTCATTAACAGTTCTGATGAAGA